TAAAATGTTTCAACAAATTCGCGTTGCGATTTTGGAGAATCGCGTTGCGAATTTGAAAACCGCGCTGTGTGTTTACCTATATCGATAATTAGCGTTGCGAAAACGAAATTTGCGTTGCGAATTTGAAAACTGAGTTGCGTGTTTACCTATATCGGTAATTAGCGTTGCGAAAACGAAATTCGCTTTGCGATTTTGAAGAATCACATTGCGAATTTGAAAATCGCGTTGCGTGTTTACCTATATCGGTAATTAGTGTTGTGAAATCAAAATTCGCGTTGCGAATTTGAAAACTGCATTACGATTTTGGAGAATCGCGTTCCGAATTTAAAAGCTGAGTTGCGTGTTTACCTATATTGATAATTAACGTTGCGATTTTGGAGAATCGCGTTACGAATTTGAAAATCGCGTTGCGATTTTGGAGAATCGTGTTGCAAATTTGAAAACTGTGTTGCGAAACTGGTGTTCGCGTTGCGATTTTGAGATCGCATTGCGAATTTGTTGGTTATTTTCGTAAATCCAAAAAAAATTAATTAAAATCGTATATTATAAGATATTTTCGGTAACTGAAATTATTTTCTATTAAAAGAAAAATGTTAACTTTAAGATTTTGAGAAGTAACGGCTGGAAGAGAAGAAAGAAAAAGGATAAGAGAAAGGTGAAGGTGAGTTACTAGGGTTGGCGGGGTTTTAATGCTTTGGTAAAAAATGGGATAAAGATGATAATGTTTTATCTCTCTATTTTGAAATTGTATGGTTGGATAAGGATAAAGGAGAGATAATGAAAAGAAATTTGAATTGACAGTAAGTATAAGTTTAATTGGACGGTTATGATGGTGAAGTGAAAAAGTGGAAGACAACTCAATATTACCTTTTTACTATTAAAATTTTACTGCCCAACTGACCAATGCTGTAGGCACCTGAAATAACATTCTACAGCCAAATATTAATAATTGTGAGGCAGCATAATTGATTTAACCAACGGTGATGCAGCGAATGATGTTCCAACAATCCCTGTACAAAAAAATGAAAATTGATGCCTCTCAAACATGTTGTCTTGGGTTAAAACTCATCTGGCTCATGTATTGGGCCGACCTTGACAAGGACATGTTATATTCATACGTAGAAGCAGCAAAACTCGGTGAGGACATAACCGGAGTGCGTTGTCGGGGGAGGAAACAGGTGATCCAGGGGGAGAAGCAATACATGGCGAAGGAGCCATTCCCATGGGTGAAGGTGGTGAACTAATTGATGGGATTGGTGCCATTGGGTTAATGGGGACGGTGTAGGAGCCATTGATGGGCTTGAAGTTGTCGGAACCATGGGATGAGGGCTAGACATGGGTGACGACGTTGGAGTTGCCGGCGGCGGAGGGTGACATTGCTGGTGATGAGAAGGGGCTTTGAGCTATCGAGTTTGATACCAAAGCAAGTAGAAGAGTCAATGCGGTTATAACTTGGAACTGAGCCATTGAGCTGAGCCTGGAAGAGCTGAGTTAATGAGATTAAGTGAGAGAAACCGAAGATTCTCCTAAGGTTGATTATATATACAGAGGGCATTGAAGAATCCTTTCAATATATATATAGGAATAATGTCAAAAAAATATCTCTAATATTTGATTAGATAATCATTTTAATTCCTATTATTTATTTGGAGAGTTTTATTTTGAGATAAAAGAGTCTTTCATAAATAAAAAACTGTTAGTTAATAAACCCATTAATATTTCAAAATAGATAGATAAATATTAGAGGTTAATTTTGATGTTTTTCGAACATAAAGTGTGAAGGCATTTCATGCTGTGTACCCCAAAGGAATTTGTGGTCTCTTTTTTGAGTTTATGGTGGAGTGGGGAGACATTCACGTAAAAAGACACGGTTCAACGAACCAACCAAAGTTGAACCGGTTCTAACTTACTATTTTTTCTCTCTATATTACTATAATAAGAATAACATTAATCGAATTACTATATATTGAATCAACATATTTTATATAATGAATACGCTCTTAACTCAATTGATGTATGTTTAAGCATAGAAGATAAAGAGTGAAGAGAATGGCAGTTGTTTTGATGGTTAATAATTGGTTGGTGAAGTCCAACATTATAAGAATCCTTTAATTCCAGATGAGACGTGGAAGGCATTTCTGCTTTTTTAGGGCTGTGTTTATGAGATGTCTGTTGTCAACTATTAAGACGAATTATAAATATATGTTATATTGGGTAAAGAACATAAATAGTCTCTAAGTATTAGGTATTATTAGGGGTGTTCATTCGGTTAAAACGGTAATAGGCCGAATCGAATTATTATTAACAGAAATTTTTTAAAAAAAATATTAACTGAACCAAATAAATTTCGGTTTATTCGTTTAATTTTCGAATTAACCGAAATTTTTTAAAATTTTCTAATTTATATCAAAATTGAATATTTTTTAATTCAAAAAAATAGTTTACAATTAATTTAAATAATATATAATTATAAAATAAAATTTTTATATGGATTTTTTAATTAATTAATATTGATTTAGATTTAAAAGTTATTAGATCTTAAATTATTAATTGAGTTTTAAATGGTTTGGCCTGAACCCATAAGTTATATATAATATATTTAAAATTTAATTTCAGTTAATTCGGTTAATTAATCGATTTCGAATCGAATTAACAGTTAATTGAATTCTAAAAAATGTATTAATTGTTCCCCGACCGAACCAATTCGGTGGCCAACCGAATTAACTGAACTAATTTAGTTCGGTCGGTTAATTCGGTTAAAACCGAAAAATGAACACCCCTATGTATTGCTTTATTAAGCCCCTTGTTATTAAAAGTTAAAAAATAGTCATCCGACTATTCATTATGTTTCAAGCTCGTACTTTTTCGATAAAAATGGATGAAATTCTGAGCCGAACAATAACTTGTTGACTATAATATGACAAGATATGATCCTAAATTCTCAAAAGACTACCATATCATATTCATCATATTAACGCCCAACTTAAAAATTTGTTAATTTTTAACAGAAAATGATGAGTTGGAATATAATGAATAGTCAAATGACTATTTTGTAACTTTTAATAGTCGAGCGACTCAACGAAGTAACATTTTATAGTCATAATTAAGACCATTTGTGTATTTTACCCTATTATCTTATATCACCTGAATTATTAAAAAATAGTTTTTTCAAAATACAAATGTTTAAAAGAAAAAAAATGTAAAGAGTTCGAAGCCCATCCTTAAAGAAAAAGGAAATGGAATATAGGGTAGCATGCCCACCAGAAAATCAATGGCAGGGACCAATGCCCAGAGTGGGGCAACTCATGGCCTAACCACAATCTGTGACTGAGGAGTTATTTAAGGAATTTTGCGTTCTTCTTTGCTGAATTCCAGATTAAACCATGGTTTAACTGCTCGCATAACAAGAGTTTAGGCACTAAAGAGTTGTTTTACATTTAAATCAATCATCTGGGGTTGAAGGAGGAGAGAATCATCATCTACACATTATAAGCTTCAAGAAAAGTTCATCATGTCCTCCAAGAGAACATGTGTAACTAAGCTCTGGAAAACTTCTCCATGGTGTTTACATATTTGGTTCAGGCATACTCCTTCATAAGACCATTACCTTCATTTCTGTGTTAAACTTTATGTCCATTTTCTGTACAACTTAAACAAGGATTAAAGGTTCTGTTTTCTTTAAGATAAGATGTAGAATCTTCAGTTAAAAAAGCGGAAAATGCTACTTTAAGCCTCGGCATTATTCTCAACACGAGCAAGCTACGGTGGAAATTGAAATTTTAGAAGATGATATCCAATTATTGTTATATTGATGTAATGATGCACCTCACGTCCCAATTTGTTACGTCTCACGGAGTCATGATTATGGAACTCCAAAGTTTACTTTTAAGAATAATTGTCATGTGCCTAAGTCAGAGTTGTCCATTACCTTTATTTTGCTTTCTCATCAATTCATATCTTACCTTTATTTTGATATATGCATATAGATATATAAAAATATGAACAATTACTAATTTAAATTAATAATATTATAGTCAATTCACTGCATGATTTATGCTATTACAACTTTTTCTGACATAGGTTTTGCATTCGAACGTAACAACCTTTTTCTACTCTTAAAATAACACCAACATTATAAAAATAAATATGAAAAAAGTTAAAATAAAATATTAATTTAATATACTGAAGGACCAAAAATTATAGGGTAAACTACATATTTAGTACTTAAACTATTATACCATAGATTAATAAAAACATAAAAAATACTTAAACTATTATTTTTATTTTGTTTTGGTACATAAATTCTATTTGTTTTAACATTCATACATAACATTTAGTTTAGATTTCAATTTGGCATCCTACCGTTAAAAATTTAACAGCGATGTTGATGTGTTATCATAAGATAATGTCATGTCATCATTAAAAAAACTAAAAATAACACAGTACTAAAGCGAAATAAAAATAATAATTTAGATAATAAACTTTTAGTTTATCCAAAAGAAAGTTTAACTTTCTTTTATTAACATTAAAGTGGCAGGTAAGAGGTTTACTTTTAAGGGTAAACTATGCATTTAATATCTATGCTATTAGTTTTGGTCTGTTTTAGTACATAAATTTTTAATTTTTTTAAAATCATACCCAACCTTTAGTTTTTGTTTCATTTAGTATCCTATTATTAAAAACTTAACGTGTTTTGTATATAAACTATAAATTTTATTCTGTTTTAGTACCTTTAACTTTCACTTTTTTCAAAACTTAACATTGAATTTCGAATGGGGTATTAAAATGAAACCAAAACTAAATTTTAGGTATGATTATAAAAAATTAAAAGTTTAGGTACTAAACCAAACCAAAACTGATAGTTTAATTACTAAACTCGTAATTTACCCTATTTTTAATTAGTGCCACGTCGATGGGTCCCATCCCCAGGCTGTTACATTAGGACCGGGCTCCACTCCATGTTAAATTGACATGTGTCAACATTTATTTCCTTCCTTTTTCCTCCAAAGCAGACCCACGGTGCATAGAATCTCCCAACTACCGTCGGTTCCCCGACAAACCTCCAACCTCGGTGGCGACTGTATCGGCGACTCCTTTAGCATAAGGCCGAACCAGTTGCAGTTCGCGCCACATGTTAGTTCGTAATTCGTACTAATTTGGGTGATTAATATTAACCAAATCATTTCTCTCTCTCTCTCTTATATGAAAAATCTGAAGTAGAAATTCTATTGGAGAATTGGTTTATAAGGCTTTATATTATCCTTTTCTTTTTGCTCTGATTTGATTTTTTCTTAAAGGTTTGTTAATGATTGTTTGTCGGTTCTGCTTTGATTTTTTTTAGTTCATTATGACTGCTGGTGACGCTAATCAGTTGATATCTGTTCAACCCAACGACCTCAAGTTCCTTTGTAAGTCCATGTCTTATCTATGTTCAAACTTGCATGCATGCATGATGTATGTACATATGCAGAGTCCCATTGGATATGCATATGGACAGGGATGACCGAAGAGTGGGCATGTAGTCCTGAAAATTTCAAATTATATAATATTTTAAATTTTTTATTTTCTATTGATAGTTGTTTTCGCAGCAGTGGGCGGATCCAAAAATATGTTTTTAGGTTGGGCACATTGTATTATTAATGGAAAATTTTAGCATGGATGGACAAAAATAAAATTTCAGGAGTATAGTAAAATGAACAACTAACATAAAGAAATTCGGATTTGAGGGTGAACATAAATAAAATTTTAGGTAGTCACCTTTAATAAAATAAACAATGAAGGTAAAGAAATTTGGCATCCAGGGTAGGAAAAGAAATTCGGGATCCTGGGTGGGTACCCTGAGTTCAACATGCATCCGCCAGTGTTCGCAGCTTAGAATTTTATAAATTGGCTCCTCCTAAAATTTTAGAAGTTCGTCCCCAAACATAAAATCATGGCTTCATCCATATGGATGTTCATGATACAACTGCATGGTTATGTGATGAACTAGCAAAGGATTAATCTTGTGTTGAATTTTAGGTTTTGGTTGGAATGGAGATGATCCCTATTTTCATTGGCTGGTTTATTTCTTTATTGTTTTGCTTCTTATGTTTAAAATCCTTGACTTCATTGGGGGTCCCTTGATCTGTTGTTGGCAATCGTTGCTGATGTTTTTCGGATGCTAACTTGTATAAATAGTTGGTGATGTAAGGTTAACATATAGTTCTTTAAAAGATTCAGGGAAAAGAAAGCAGTTCTGGGTGTTCTTTTTTTTTTTTAAGTTTATTAGTCTTTCTTACATGTCGATGCACATCGGTGTTTAGCTATCTTGATTTCTGCATATGGGAGCCTCTTTATTTCTAATGCACAACTGCTAAGATCCTTCTTAGACGTTATTATGCTCATTTTTCTTCGGTATTTTTTTTTGTTAAACAGGTTTTAGCTTACTTTTGTTCATGTGATTCATGTTTTCAGTTGAGCTGGACAAGCCTAGTTTTTGCAATCTTCAGTTGACGAACAACACGGATGACCATGTGGCATTTAAGGTACCATTTCTGTCATTGTTGCATTTGTTCATGAAATCTTGTTAGGTGTATGTGTAATTCTCCTTACTTTCTGGAATTCTCAGATGTGATTGTTTGATTTTTAATGTTCCCAACTTGTTATCATGTTAGGTTAAAACAAGTTCACCCAAGAAGTACTTTGTGCGACCGAACACTGGAGTTGTAATGCCTCGGGACTCATGTATCATCAGAGGTATTGCTTTTGATCCCACAAACCATTTCATTTCTCTGTTAGTGCATTGAGATGACCTTATGTATGATACCAGTTTCATTGACCTATCAGTCACTCTCCAAGCCCAAAGGGAATATCCTCCTGATATGCAATGCAAGGACAAATTTCTGCTACAGAGTATTATAGTCCCTCCGAATACCGATGTGGATGATCCACCGGCATATACTGTAAGAATGCTTACATGGAGATTAATGTTTTCAATTGACTACCTTTATGATACTGTCTAAAACAAATTTGAGTTTTGGAATGCTATCTGTCTTTACTTCCAGTTTAACAAGGATGGTACTAAGGAGATAAAGGAGCGCAAGCTTAAAGTTTTTTACGAATCTCCTTCGGGTCAAGCAAATTCAGAAGACGGAGGCTTAAAGAGCTTCACACCACAAAACCCTGATGCAAACTCTGAGAGTCTTGTTGGTTATCTGCTCTTTTTTTCTTGGAGGGGGAATAGGGTGTATTTTGTTTGTTAATGGAAATATTATGTTACAAATGCTTAGTCTCACATCATGTTTACACATCCTTCTTTGAGGTTTCGAGTAATGGTTCGATTGAGGCCTTTTTATCGCACATTTTGAAGTTTGGAATAGTTGTTGAAATCTGAACCGACGTGGAGAGCTCCCCTCCCCGAAAAATGTTTAGTTAGATATTGAAGATCATAGTTTTTTCTACCTTTCATGATATTTTCTGGTGTTGCTAACTTGAAAACCTGAACCCTGTGTCCGGTTCCCATGTCTTAATTTCTAAATTTCAGTTTTTTTTCATTGAAATCAGACCATACAGCACCTTAAGGATTAAAGAAATGCCGCAGTTCGGTAAACAGTTCAGCTGCAACAAGAAGTGGTACGGTTCTTTTTCTGACATCGTGGTCTTAGTTCCGATCACAAGTTGATGACCCAATAATAATCTCTGATACACGAATACAGGGAAGATGATAAGAGAAATCCAGCTTTCCTAATTTGGAATTTCATGGTTTAATTTGCTATCTTTTAGTTTGCCCTAATGTAAAAGTGCCAATAAATCATACAACTTTTCAATCCATCCATGTTTATGATTTTGAGTTACGGTGTCCTACAACTCGTTTTACAGCCATGATGGATAAGTAAACAATCTTGTTTTCTCTCAACAGGATTTTCTGAAGAGGCAAAGAAAACGTAGGAACAACACCGGCTTCTCCTTCATGTTTGCATCCTTTGTCGGACTGATAGGAATAATGATCGGTTTTCTGTAAAATCTTTCCTTGGCTTGGTCGTTGACAAAAGGAAAATACGAGTATGGTGGGAACCAGTGATGTTCATTGTATAATGCTGAATGTTACTGTTCTGCTTGAAGGAGTCTTCCCTTTTCCTTTCCTTTCTGTATATTTGATCTTTCCCCCTTTGATCGGCTGCATTTTTTTAATATGTTTCATTCAATCCATAATTTGAAATGACTTAGAGTAATGTTAAAAATTATTGTATTAACATTATTACCCGAATTACCATAGAATACAAGTTATTGAGTTTGATTTAATGTCCTATGAAATTTATTTATACTTATTAATTAAATTTTGTAGGATGTATTAAGAGAAAAGATAGTTGATTCTTTGTGGACAAAATTGAAACAACTTTGCAGGAGAAAAACATTAACTAGTAAGTTACATGTGAAGAATTGTCTCTATTCACATAAACTGACAGAAGGTTCGTCTCTATTTAAAGGCCTTGGAGGTGAAGTATGGTAAAAAGTAGATTTAGGGTTGATTTAGCTATGTTCTTTATCTCCTTATTCGTCCTTTAAAGATATTATTATGTACAGTCGCGAAACTCTTATTGTTACTGGAGTACATGATATGATTCCATGCACTCGCATGATGAGATGAAACACCTTGCAGTTAGATGTGAATCTCAAGCAGAAATATGGTTGCTCATAGAATGACTGATACTAAATAAGAAATGAAAAAAGAATGGATTTATGGCAGCAGAAATAAAGAGAGACTGAAATCTAAGAGTAGAGATAAAACTTCAAATTTTACTTAAGAAGATGAATACAATGATGATGAACTCTTAGTTGCTTCTCGACAACCACAAAGCAAATCTAGTAATGAATAACCCATTACTACGGATGGACAAGATGTGGGTGCGGCGAGTTACTACTAGTGCTTGCCTGTTGCCCTAAACTTGAAGGAGGATGAAGCAGCTCTGCCTGTGGGAATGAGCCATTGGGCGGCACATCCAGCAGCAAATCTTGGTCTGAACATTCATCAACAAAATGGAGAGAGTCCAGCATTAGAGAGCTATCATCGGGAGGCAACGCAAACAGGCTTCTGGGGCTAAAGCAAGAACCATCGCTTTCTATGTGTTCTTTGTTTCCGTAGGTAGCCTTCACGATCCCTCTCTTTGGACTCTTTAATGTTTTTTCTTCTGAAAAACGAAGAATTTTTTTCTTGAACAAAATGACAGTGTAACTCATGATAATTCAAAATGCTCACAAGATTAGCACTCAACTTAAAGATGAGATTCATTTAGTTGCAGATAAGTTTTCTTCAAAATGTTTCATGTTTGCAATTATATTTCTTTCATCCAGTTTATTAACTATTCTTTACTTCCTTTTATCATAAAAGCTCATCTGGGTTATTTTCACTTTCACATTCAATGTTACTACCAAGTCATCAATATAATTTAACAGGATCTATTTCACACATAGCTTGAGCCAAAAAAAGTTTCATGCAGTGCAACTCTAGCAGAGAAAATTTTCTAACCTGGAATTTGACTGTCCCGTGATCTCTTCGTTGTTACCGAATTATTCAATGTTATTGCGTTTGGTCCTCTAGCAACAACCGACCCTCCAACATTACTTTTACATTTCTGCAGCCAAAGAAATGTTTTTATGCACTGAGCACAAGAAGTTCATGTCAAGTGTCACCACTAAAGATAACCAATTCAAACCTTGAGTCCATTACGGCGTTCCACCCAGAGAGATTTCGTCAAATTGAATAATGCAAGTCTTTTTAAAGTCTTGCAATCTTCAGCTTTCATCCCAGGAACAGAGATGTCAAATACCCCTTCCTCGAGCAGTTGCTGAAAGTAACATAAGTTATCCTTGAATTGAGGGCTTTCGAACATGCTCTTCAGGCTGCAGATGCAAAGACAACTATCAGCAAGTCCATTTTCCACATCATGTTTCAGTTATTCTCATCTCTTTAAATGAATAATATCCGTTACTGATTTTTTTTTCTCCTTCTCCCCTTTTTACCTGATTTCCACTATATGTGCACCGGATACTATCAAACTACTATTATTACCCAAAATGCATTCCACTACACACAAAACATAAAATAGAAATATATTATTTTCCCTCTTCAAAAAAGAGTAAAAAAAAGGGTACCTCTCGGGGAGTTTGGCAATGTCAAGTGGAGGTAGATACTGCAGTAATTGCTGTTGTTCGTCTTTTGTCAAATTCTTGACGAACTCCTCAAAGTTGATAATATCCTATACGACAAAAAATTATCATCACATAATTGAGAAAGAATATGTGCAGCAGTGCAAATTGTTCAAGGTAACTCAATCCTTCCTTAAGATGGAAGAGTTATGTGAGATTTTTTAGCATCCGAAATCATAAAATGTAATCAAACTTAATGGTTCTGAGTTCTCAATTGAGAGTTTTAATGTAGCAGCGGTAAAGTTGAGGTCTACAGAACTTTCCCTCAGAGAAACAAATAAAGAAAATGAAATAAGGGAACTTACACTCAAATCAATGTTACACAGTGGTGAATTATGACTTTCCAGCATTAGTGATTTTTCATATGGAGCCTTGTCTCTGCCAAATGTCAGAAAGGAAAAGTAAAGATATATTAATCAATATGAAAGCACCATTCTCCCATATCTCCTCACATTCACAGCATCTATTTGCTTTATGTAATGGCCCATGAGGCCGTGATAACTAAATTTTCTTCCTGAAAAAACTGCAGGGATCAAGATATTACTACATTGAGCTTTTGAGATAAGTTACATGTCTTGCATTGCTGCAAGAAATATACTATACATTTATTTTAAGGTTTTTGAGTGGCCATGGTAAATTTTCATAAACTTTCAGTTAAAAGTTCACATGGTCCACACCAATGCTAGCTTCATAAGCGGTAGATTCTGTTGCAACTTGTGAAGTGCCATAATAAAAAGTAAAAGTTTTACCTCTTAAGTTGCTCATGCAGCATCCCTTGTTCAGCAGGGTTCTTTGCCTTGTCAATTCCATGTCCCAAAAATTTTATGCTCTTCCTATCACTATATGAAGGGAAGTTTGATGAATGTGAATAAGCCTCATTCATTGAATATTGTTTGTTATCAAATGAGAGGGAGCTAGCTTCTGATTCCCCTTCTCGGGCTATTGAGCTTGGATGCCCAATCAGAACACTTCCATGCCCAATCTCAACAGAAACCATGGGAGTTTCACTCTCAAGAAGCAAGTCCTCCTCAGAAGATCCAGAGAAATATGAAGATTGTCGTTGTTCATGTAAAATAGTATACAGATCTTTTGTAAGTTTCTCGACTGGTGATGGCTTTGGACGATTTACGCATGTTCTTTTCTTAGAAGGTACCATTGAGTCCCACACATTAGATTGAGCAGGTCCTGGAAAAAGATAGAATGAAGACATCTTATATCAGTATTCCACAAAATTTTAAAACTGTATCTAAATGAATTGACTAGCATTAGTCAAGATTAAGTGGGAAATGAAGATAAAATTCGACGATGGGGATTAAAACACCAAGATGAATGCTAAGCAGAAGATTTAATACAATAAAAGAATGTATAGTCTGAATCATGTCAATAGGTTGTTCCAACTGAAAAATAAACATTCAATTCAAATATCTCAAAGATATGAAAACCTTTTTTCTTCTGCTGTTCATTGTGCATTTTTTAGTGTTAAACCACAACACTTGAATTCTACAAAGATATATAAACATATCCAGAATCATTCGATAATGCCATGAATCTCCAATGAGTTCAGAAGATGGAATCAGAATTTCCATTGAATTTCAGTATCTGACCCTTTAATGACAAAAAAATTGCAATTTACTCCCACACAGTTACTGATGTGGAACACTGATGGCATCATGTCCAACCTGTTAAGTCACTAGCCTCTGCACTGCCAAATTGAGCACAGCTTTCAGAATTAGATATGGCTGATCCAGAACTTGATCTATTACTAGTATCTTCATCCACAAATTTACGGAAACCTAGATTGTAATCAGGGGACACAATGGCTGTTTCATGATTTGGCTTTCTTTTCAGTAGTTTTACTTCTTTGTTCTTATTTATAGATATGCTCTTCACTCTGGCCCTATTCTCCTCAGGTTCAGGACGAGCATGAAGTGGGGTATATTTTGCAAGTGTCCCTTTAGTCCTCCACCGCGATCCACATGCATTACACAAAACTGGCTTCTCAGGAGGTCCGTTGCGCCAAAGAGGAGTGCCTATCACAATGTGGTGTTGTCAGTAAGTTTAGACCAATCAAGGACTGTGATATGTTTATGGCTCTTCTAACCCCAAGAGACATTTGCCAAATTTTATAGATATTTCAAAGGACAACACCTCAACAGAATACAAAAGAGTGCATAAAAGAGTTCAGAACATTCTTAGGCAAGTTCAAAGACACGCTAAGTTCAAAGACTATAAAACACTTGAAGTATTTTGTTAATGGTGCACTAAATTTAACACTTAGAAGTCATTCAGAGTGTTTAAATGAAAACGATACTTACGAGGTTGAATTGCTTAAAGGCTAAATAGTCAACAAGAATAACTTCAAAATAGAATTGAATGGTATCCAGAAACAATAAAAAGAAACAAAGAATGGTTTAAAAAGAATAAAGTGCAGTTCTTGAAAAATGTTTCACATTTGTATTGGAGTCCATTGGAGGTGGACAGCTCTTATCGACAAAGAACGAAAGAAAAGTCTTGGAACAAGCATTAGAGTCCTTTCCTCTTTAACACTGAATTTTAAACCAGAGCTTATTTAGCAAGTCATGGCAAGTGCATCACTAAAGGATCAAAACAATGATGTTGCAAGGAAATGCATTCCATTCAATTGAATAGAAGAGAAATGAGGTTTGACTTGATGATTAAGCTTATAAACATCAATGGAGCAATGGGAAATCAATACCAATCAAATGTTGAATCCGAAACTGCCAAGAATTCAACAACATATGCATTACCACAGTATCCAATGGAGTTCAAACTCATTTTCCTTGAGAGATAAGCTGGAAATTTGAACAATAGTAAAATAAGACTAACTCCAAGAGATGTATAAGGCTGAGAAAATGAGGTTGAAAGGTACAAATGAATTCAATACCGAATTCAAGTTCAAAGCTTCACATGGACTGAAAAAACAAACACCTGT